TTTAAGCATATTTAAACTAATATAATAATAGTTTATATAATTATAATATAAATATTATAATTAAATAAAGAATTAGGTATATTTATATTAAACTTTATTATTTAATAGAAAATATATTAAGTCTAGATTTAGTAAGTTATTATCTATAATATAAGCTTTTTTTAGTCTTAAAATACTAATTTATTAATTTCTAGTATTAGTTATACAAAGCTAGGTATAAATAGTAAAATTATAATAAAAATCTATAATAAATTAGATTATACAAGTATAAAGAAGCTTTAATTAAAGAATCTTATAGAGTAAGCTAAATAAGCTAAAAATTATATATTAAAAACTATTCTAAATCTAGTATTTATTAGCTATATCTTTATTACTATATATTAATTATTTTTAAAAAATATTAATCTTTACATAAGCTATATTACTAGAACTAAGATTCTTTAGAAACACTATACTAGCTAGATTAAGATCTTTAATAACTTAGTATATATATATAAACTAATATAAGAAATTATTATTAATAGTATCTCTATCTAATATATAGATATAAGTAAGATATTTAAGTATAAACTTATTATAAAAAACACTAATTAAAGCTAACTAAGATTTAAGATAAAGATTATATATATAGACTAGCTCTCTAGATTAAAGCTTAAAAACTACTCTAATTTATTTATAGTTAAGTTTACTAGCCTAGTAATAGTTAATAATATAATTACTAATAAGATAATATAATATATTTATTCCTTTACTAATTAGCCTTATTATTAAGAAAAATAAATAAAGATATATAGAAAATATTAAAAATATAGATATATATAAGTCTAATACTCTAATTAATAATATACTTATAGATTTTATATAAAGAAGTACCTAATCTAGAAGTATTTATCCAATTAGAATTAGGATATAACACTAAAATATACTAATTATAAAGAATCCTATAAGACATCTAGTAATAAATATAAGATTTAGAAAATAGAGATTATATAAGTATATTAAATAATTATTATAAGACTAATAAGATATTAGATTCTATAGTATCTATAAACTAGAATAATTAAGCAGATAGCTTTAGAGCTAACTTCTATTAAAATAATAAGAATTATAACCATAAAAAAAACTATATAGGCCTAGAAATAGATCCTAAGAAAGATAATCATAAAGAGTAAAAAAGTAATAACTATACTAGTAACTATATTAGTAACCACATTAACGACCACACTAGAGCTAGTTCCTAAATTCACTCCAGAACCACCTCAGGAACCACCTCAGGAACCACCTCAGGAACCACCTCAAAAACCACCTCAAGAACCACCTCAAAAGCCAGTCTCTCAATTAGTGCTAGAGTCCACTCACGCGCCAACTCACGAA